CCAGCTGTGGCCTGACCAGTGTCACGTAGAGGGGGAGGATCACCTCCTTGGCCCTGCTTGAGATGTACCTGTGGATGCACGACAAGGTCTGGTTAGCCCTGCCAACCGTGACCTCGCATTATCGGCCCACATTCATCTTGGAGTCAATAATGACTCCAAGACCCCTTTCTGCCTCCATGCTTTCAAGAAGGGAGTTTCCCATCTTCTAAGTGTGCCGCTGGTTACTACTGCCCAAGTGCAGCACCCTGCACTTGTCAGCATTGAAACGCATCTTGTTTTTGTTACCCCACCCCCGTAACCTATCCAGGTCTTGCTGCAGTCTTTCCCTCCCTACTAGTGTGCTCCCCTCACCCCACTTCTGAAGTATTAGATTCAGTTTCTCATTTGTTTTTGGTGAGAAGCTTTTCCTCCAAGTCTAGATAGTCCTTATATTGGCATCCAACAGACTTGCACTTTGGGCAGCTGTGCTTTTACACATAGCACAAACTTAATTAACTCCAGGCCACCGAGGCCAATTTCCTCTTTTTTTATGGTGGTATTTACATTTGTGTCCAGAGGTACATTACTTTCCATGAGGACATGGGTGCTTCTAATGTTCTGGAACAAGTGGTTTCTTCTTAGGAGATGCCCCAGATCTGGGCTGTGATGCTCTAGAGGATGACTATCAAGACACATTAATGTTGGGTCTTCTTCTACTGTAATAACACACCTAACCATGTTTTTTCTCACAAGCTGTCAGATCCAAAACTGGTGTCACCTCCCTCAATACACCAGCTGTATATTGTATACTATTTACTTGTACTGTGGGTGCTGTGTATATTTATTTGTATATTGGATAGTAACAATGCCAGAGGAACTGTACATAGATGCAGTAGAATGAAATGGAAAAAGGAACAATGGTTTCATTTAAATTGGACACTGGACCTCAGATCAGTATTTTACCAGAGCATGAATACAGAAAATTCAATATTCCTTTGGCTGTTACATTTGTTGCTGAACAGACAATTATTGTCAATGTTTGTTGGACTCACTTTTGGTTTCAATTTTAAAATTTTCTATATTCATGCTCTGCTAAAAACATTAACCTAAGCTCCAGTGTCTAATTTAAATGACACCACTATTCATTCCACTGTCTCTGTCAACATTTAGTCCCCTCATTCATTTAGCCTGATTCTGCCATACTGATATAAAATTCTTCTGGGATGCTCTCAACTGCATGCACTTGAGGTTTTAAGTGCTTGGCATCTGCAACACACCTGGCAAAACAGCTCCTCTTGGTACAGCTGAAACACAGCTTTCCAAATGCAGCACAACATTTGGAGCCATGCTGCTTTCCACATCTGCTGTGCGTCTGCCTGTGAGTTCTCCCTCCCTTAGAGGGCGACCTACAGATGAGCCACTTCTTCCGGCAACATTCTTTCATATCTATGATATAGACAACTCCTTTTGGTGCATTCAGCTCTGCAGCATGGGTCTTCACAGTTTCTACTGTCCAGTACATTCAGAGAGTCTTTCTAGGGGTAAGGTTCCCTCACACAATAGACTTCCTTGTAACACAGTGCTTGCAATGCCACAAATAATCATATCTCTAATCAGAAATTCTGTCAAGTTCCCAAGAGCACAGCTCTTCCTAGCTCAGTAACATACTGAATTGTACTTCATTCTGTTGTTTATTTGCACATAAAAATAATCTGTGCCTTTCAGGAGTCTCATTCTTTTTTGGCATGCAGTATGCCTCAAATTTGGACAGTATTACACTTAACTGCATATTTTGGCCTTCTTCAAAGATAAACATGTCATAAACACCCAGGGCTTCCTTCCCCACAATATGGAAGATGACAGAGAATTTGACTCTCTCGTTACTTTCTCTTTTCTCCCCTGTGGCTGCTAGGTACCATTCAAACCTTTGTCTGAACACCCTCCAGTTCTCTGCCATATTGCCTGACATCAGAAGAGCAGGTGGAGGTTGCAAAACTTACATGACTTAATGTCCTTAAACTAACAGCAGAAAGATCACTTACAGAGGCCCTTGTCCTTCTACAGGGCTAAGCTGCTCCACTTGCTTTCAGTTTGGATCTCAGTTTTTTTCAAGTTGTCTCATTTGCCACTCCTGATACCAGGTAGTAATCACCAGGTTCAACAAACATAAACATATAAAGCATAAGAAGAACTAACAAGTTTTATCACCAGGGATCCAGGTTTTCTGTTTCCCATGGGAAAACTGAGTAAAACACAGATTTCCCACCTTACCAGAGTAAAACACAGATTTCTCATTTTAGCAGAGAAACCTGTGGATTTCGCGGTTTTGCAACAGCCCTCTGCAGGATGGCAGAGCTCCAGCCTGCAAAGGGCTGGGAGGGACTAAGAAGAGGGCAGTCAGGCAGGGGGACACCATGTCAGGCAGCCTGGAGAGCAGCTCCCACAGGTAAGCTGAGGTGGGGATCACGGTCCCCATAGGAAGGGAGGGAGTTGGGCAGAGCTGGGGCTACTGCCCAGCCAGGCAGTGTGTGGGGCTTAGGGCCCAGGGCTGCAATGCACAGTGGCAGGGCCTCAGTACGGAGTGGGATAAGACTGCAGGCAGTTTGTTTGGGGGGCTTAAGGGTAGGGCCAGCTCCCCACTGCTGCACACACCCCAGAGGGGCAGGGGGGACCTGTGCCCCCCAGATCTGCATGCAGGGTGAAGGCAGACTGCCTGCTGCAGGCTCAGG